TCTCTTTTGAACAGTCAGAGTCTCATAGCGTTCCCGGTTAGCATTCCGTCCGAAAGTGCAAAAAGTAAAAAAGAACTCGGATATTCTCTTTTTAGAATGATCTGAAGTACGGTTGCCAGAAGATCATTATATATACTTTGTCTTTTAGGCGGTCCTGGTGGCTCAGGCGGTTCTGGAGGATCTGGTGGTTCTGGTGGCTCAGGGGGGTCTGGTGGAACCGTAGCACCAGGTCAGTGTGGATTCAAACCCAATGCACGTATCGTTGGTGGAACAGCTGCACCAAAAGGAGCTTGGCCATGGCATACAATGCTTCGGTCACGCTATGGCTCAGCTAGATGTGGAGGAACGTTAGTCCATCCACAGTGGGTTGTCACTGCAGCACACTGCGTTAAAGACGAGTATTTTCCTATGCATTTTCTTGTGAGGTTAGTACATTAAACGCGAGATAAAAGGCATGGCAGTCATAAAAGAAAGTTTTCTCTGGAATTTAGTAAGTTGTTAAAAAAATGAATTTTTAATTGATGAAGCTTAAGACTTTTAGGAATAGTCCATCTGAATGACTTCTACTTAGAAGCCTTGCACCATCACTTGATGGCAGCCATGACATGAGGCACAACAGAGTCGTTTTCCCCTAGCAACCGAACTCTTTCTCATGTAAATCAGATTAGACCAGATTCAACTGTTCATGCCACCTGTCATGGCTGCCATCACATGATGGTGCAAAGCCTCTATACAAGAGTAAGAAGCAAACTATAGACTGAATCATATAAAACAGTCACAAAGTTTTATGTACATGTGACATGTGGCAATATACCTTTTCCAAATTCGCTTGAATGACCACGAAACATTTTAATAGCTCCAGGTTGGACAGGATATATAAGTGTGAATATTGAATGGGTAGAACTGTGGTGAAATAATGATAGATGTGTTGATCATCACAGTGAATGAGCGATCCAAGCGAACGCTGTAAAGAAAGACTTTAAAAAATGATTTCAAGCTTCAACGGGAATCGAACCCATGACCTCCGCGATGCCGGTGCGATGGATGGATATATAAAGTAAGCAAATGTATGAAAACATCAAGTCAATTGTTTTGTGGTTGCTCATTCCAAGCGAATTCGGGAAAACTATTAGAAATGAGAATTGCAATTTGTATTTTAGGCTTGGAGCACATCTGCGCAAAGGGGAAGTTGGTACAGAACAAGATTTCAAAATTGCTAAGGTTATTCGGCACAATAACTACCAAAAGCCCTATGGAAAAGCCAACGACATCGCCTTAATAAAACTAGATAGGCCTGCCCAGATAAACAGAGCTGTCGGGCTGGCATGCTTGCCACCATCGAGTGGGAGTGTGGAAGATGGCAAGAACTGCTGGGTTACAGGTAGGCAAGAAGCTTTGTTTTTATTGCTTTTTGTTAACAAATCAAGAAAGGAATAAAATTAGTTCCAATAAAGTGTGCTTTGAGGAATAAACATAACACCCAATTTTCTCTTTTTTTTTTACCTTAAAATGTTGGAGTTTCTCGTCTTATTTCCAATTTCCTGATTATCTACCGTTTCCCAAGATATTCTGTATTGCCTTTGCATTACATTTGGTCAATAAAGAGATGTTCTTTATTTTATATATGGTTTTCATTAGGATTTGGAAGACTTTTTTCTCATGGACTTGCTGCGCCTAAAGTACTCATGCAGGTCTCTGTCCCAGTAGTAAATCAAGCCAAATGCATCAACGCGTATGGAGCTGAATTAATTCACGGCTCAATGATCTGCGCCGGTCTTGACCAGGGTGGCAAGGACTCTTGTCAGGGAGATTCAGGAGGTCCCCTGGTGTGTGAGGCAGGTGGCAAGTACTACCTTGAAGGGGTAGTGTCGTGGGGACATGGTTGTGCTGCTCCTGGAAAGTACGGAGTATATACACGAGTTCGGTACGAAAGGCAGTGGATTGATGATATCATTGCTAACAATTGAGTTGATAGATAGTACGGAAATACAAATGTCAATATAAAGAAAAATAAACTTATGTTATTGCTGTGGTATATTTAATTAATACGTACATCAAATCTCAATTCTCACTACTTGCATCTCAGGTTTTCTTTGTCCCTTGTGTAATGAGGGTATGTCTGAAACCAATGACATACGTCTGATACAATATTGACATAAATATTAACTTTATTGACTTTGAATGTAACACTGATGTTCGAGCCGAGTACAAACGATGACAGCCAAGTACAATCGGTAAACTCCTGTCATGAACAAATGTTACTCAGCTGATACTATATCAGTAACACCATACCTCATAACCACATTACAGCAAACCATGGTACGAGATCCTACACTATACACCGTGACACTCAAAACACTGACATCAAAACAAAACAGTACTGCAGATACCAAACTACATTACATTACATCTGACTAATAATTTGCCAATCCGAGATTGAGGGAAAAAAAACACTTGTCATCGCTTAATCAAAACCGCAAGTACAGCAGTGACGCAGCTCATAGAGGTCGAACTGTAAGCATGTGAAAGGCGCCTCTGGCAGCCGAAATACAGTCCATGGTACTGGGTGAAGTTAACATTTTTAGAATATCCATTTCCAAAATGGTTTCTATTTTCGTTCCCTTAAACGTATTCGACGCGTCACTCCAAAATAAACACAATAAAGCAGAGCAAACTACAAGATATACGCGATGTTCTTGTCAAGATCACCTGCTTGCTTGGCTGGCTGCAAATCTTCAAATGTAAACGTCCAGTCACAAAGTCTGCCTTCTGCATTTAAACAGGCCAAAACTTGCGACAGTACTTTTATATAAAAGAAAAAAAGAATGCAGTTATTTTACATTGTTTTTCACAATGAGGTCGTCACTACTGCTCTGTGCATTTGCAGTATCCATTTTCGCAAGTTTTGCACAAGGTAAGTGATATATAAGACTTAGATTCATTCACGTTGTGGTCTCTTGTAGTATAGTTTGGTCTAGCGTGTTTTATTATAGTGTGATTTAAGATTAAGTAGTGTGCTGTGCTTTGCTTTCTTTATTGAGGTAGTCTTGAATAAGGTGCTTTCTTGTAGTATCGATCATTTTAGAAGTTTTTAGTCATACGTGATGTAATGCAATTTGTGAATTGGTATCTCTAAATGTGTTTTCTAAGGTGTTTTTGTTGTGTGGTGATACGAGTTTAGTATCTGGAAGTATGGTTTGGTGTAATGCTTTTGTTGAGGTGGGCTATTGTGTAGTGCGACCTTTTAGAATCATTTGCTATCTTCTTAATAGGATGTGTGGACAATGATAATCGCTGTGCAAGTTATGCCCAAAGAAACTTTTGCAAATTCGGCAGTCTGGTGCCGTGGATGAAAAAGAACTGCAAGAGGAGTTGCAATATCTGTGAAGGTGGCAGTACTGGTGGTAAGTGGGTCTCTAGATCTTTTACGGACTTTGAAACTTGGTCTAAAAAGAACACATCGGCTGTTAGCATTTTTAGTCCATATTACCATTAGGTGTATATATGGATATTGAACGAAAGCACTTTTAAGTGCATTGAAAATCACAATAAAAGTGGTCGTAAACGCTGATACAGCTATTTCAAAAAAGGTTTGTTTATTTTCATGTTGTTTGACAAGCGAGCCCGAAATGCACTATGAGCGATGTGATTACACTCAGGAAAAGGTCACAACAAGATGAAATTTTCCCAAATTTTGTCTGCGCGTTTTTTTTGTTGTTGTTTTTTTGTTGTTTTTTTTTCCAGCATATTTTCTTCAGTGCCGACAAATGTGAGTTACACTGCATTTCGGGCTTTGTATGTAGCATGCAACAAATCTCCACTGATCTTTTTGGAAATGCTCTATATGCCATGATATAAACGCATTTTAGACAAAAATGGAAACGCAAGATTGCAGGGTTCTAGGACCGACTGAAGCTAACTGACCATATAAGATGTCTTTATCGAACATTAACAAATCTACAAGGCGCTTGCAAATGACACCATTACATTTCCAATCATGCAATAGAGTATTATTAGTGACGTCGTTGATCATCTAGTGGAAATGGCTTATTCTTTTCAATATTTAGGAGGTTCAGGCGGATCTGGAGGATCGGGTGGTTCTGGAGGTTCTGGTGGCTCAGGAGGGTCTGGTGGCACCGTGGTTCCAGGACAGTGTGGATTCAAACCCAGTGCACGTATTGTTGGAGGTACAGAGGCACCACAGGGAGCTTGGTCATGGCATGCAATGCTAAGAATCGCTTTTAACGGTTTACCTTTCTGTGGTGGCACATTAGTGCATCCAAACTGGGTTATCACTGCAGCCCATTGTGTACGAAGCAGGGGCCCAAAAGATGTTATTGTAAGGTTAGTATCACTTCAATTTAGATTCTTCGTTCTATAGATTTTGATGTATTTTATCCCAACAAAGCCTATCAGATCTCCTTTTTAAAAAACTTAGCCGGCTATAATAATAATGTTAAATGTTCCCAGAACTAATCTTTTGGCCAGAGTGTGTTCCAAATCAATAATAAAGGTTACAACATTTTTGAGGCGTGGGGATGGACGGATACGGATGGACGAATGGATACCTGCTACACTGCACGTACCAGAAGTAATCCATTTAGAATAAAGGACCCATTCTAATCTTTAATCGTTTGAGAATTCCCACAATTCGAGATCGGCAGTGCTTTAGAGACATATATTTGCCAAAATATTTTCAAAGCTTATCTCCTTTTCTCTCGCTTTGGTCTGCATTAATTAAGCAGTGGTTTTATCTCCCAGGCTTGGAGCTCATCGTCGCCGCGGCACAGTTGGAACAGAGCAAGATATCAAAGTCACGAAGGTTTTGTTGCATGAAAGCTACCGAAAACCCTACGGGATAGCCCACGATATTGCCTTGCTAAAACTGGAAAGACCCGCCCAGATTAACAGAGCTGTTGGACTGGCTTGCTTACCATCATCTAGTGGAAGTGTTGCTGATGGCAAGCACTGTTGGGTTTCAGGTAATAACGATTCAATTTTAAGGTTAGAAAGGTATCATTGCCTTGCAGCGGAGAAGGAAAAAAAGATGATGAGATTTTCGATATGTTTATTTGGCAAGAACTTATTTGCTGTAGAACGCGCGCACTCGCCCCTCCAACTTTGGGACTTGCTGTCCGAAAATAGATGTTAATACTAATATGTTAAAATAATTTTACTGATAACTGTAGAGAGATATTAATCAGTCATGGTTATAATGATGTAATTGATGCTCATGATGAAAATACGTTTGCTAGTGAAGAACGGTGGTGGCAGTGACGATGTTGAAGTTGTTGATTGTCAAGATGAATATAATAATGAAGATGGTGACTGTGATGATTTTGTTAAATCTAAGGACGATGATGAATGTTTTTCTAGGATTTGGAAGACTGTCTCAGAATGGCAACAGACCTACAGTCCTCATGCAAGTCTCAGTACCAATCGTCAATCAAGCTAAATGCACACAAGCCTATGGAAGCAAACTGATCCATGAGTCGATGATTTGTGCTGGACTTGACCAGGGTGGCAAAGATGCTTGTCAGGGCGACTCAGGAGGTCCCATGGTGTGTGAGGCAGGTGGTAAATACTACCTTGAGGGGGTGGTGTCGTGGGGCAAAGGATGTGCAGTTGCGAAACAGTATGGAGTGTACGCACGAGTCCGCTACTTGAGACAATGGGTTAACCAAAAGATCAGCAGCAACTAATGATTATAAAATAGATATTCGCATGATACAATAAAAAAAGAAGAAAACGTGCTTTCGTATGAAAACCTTTTCATTTTGATGCCTAAGGAGTTTAAAAATAGGTAGTCGTGTACGCATAACCAATAAAAAAAACGAAACATAAATGCCCCACACAAGCAATTTAAACGTTTTCAGTAAAAGTGTCTTTAAGGTGGCTCGACCCCCTCACGCTTGACCGCTACCTTCCACTTTTGGAACGCTAGTGCATAAACGTCTTTTATCCGATTGCAAATCTTTTTTGCACATAAGTCACATAAAGATTGAATTAATGTTTGATGCAATTTTTAGTGAGATCGGACGTCATAACACGTGATTAT